GTTAGGAGGGAAAAAAAAAAAAAACGGAAATTTTCAGAATCCGTATGATTTGTGCGATATGGACATATACGTAAGATTCACCACAAAATCCGTATGAACTCTGGGTAAACCGTATAAGTTGACAGGTATGCAAATGATCATAACGTTGTGTTCTCATTCAAAACATGAAATTGTCCTGGTGAGCACATACAACAACAATCGAATTGCGCCTCCAAAAAGCCATTTTTAAGATTGGCGAGGTGATCGCCGCATGGATGCACGCACCTGAACACAGACGCTGCCTTGCAGTTTAAGCTGCAGCCGAATCATGTCCACCTCGGAGGCCGAGCACAGCAGTTGCAGTTCGGCCACTTTTGTGCTCATCTCGTCGATGGCGACCTCGATGGGGCTGAGGTCACTCTGATGTTGATACATGACGGCGATGCGCTTCTTCACGTAGGGGAAACAGTGGGTGGCTAAGAGGGAAAACAACGAAATCAGGTCAAATTCAATATTATACTTTTTTTTTTTTTTTGCTTTCGTATCTATAGTGTTATTTTTCGGGGCTCTGAGCATGTGCATTATCATGATTGAGTCAGAACTTCGGGATGAAGTCAACAGGGAGGAACTTTTTGATTTACTCCTTGGCAGTGACTGAAGGTGAATAGATGGCACTCATTTTGACACACCAACACAAATCCTTCTTTGTCCGCGGTTGTGTGCGGAGACCCATAACGTTCAACCTACTGGTGAGAATGGTCCGCCGTTTACACTGCTCCTCCACGCCACCCTGCTTCTTGCCCGACACCGTAAAGGGCGTCTCAAAAACAAAACGACGGATGTTGTGGCTTTGCTCAAAGTCAGTCTTCCTCTCCTCCGACTCCTTGTCATCGAGGTAGGGCACGACGTGCGTTACTTGGACGTAGGCGTACTTGGAGTCCAGGTCCTTTGGGTTCACCTGCGGGTTTGGAATAGTCGTTAACACTGACCAAAGTGAGAACCGAAGATTTTGGAACATCGGATTTGGCATACACTGAAGCTGGACCTGAGAGGGGGCCTGGTTGATGGGCTTGAGATCTCCTCAATTATTCAAGCCCAAACTCATCAAGCCGTGCCTTTATGGGCTTTCCTTTTGTGCCAGGGTGAACCGGAGTACAAAAGCCCCTTTCCAAAGCGTTCCCCACAAAGTTGTAAGTGTGGAATTGTGTTTAAGGACAAATGTTTTTGCACCCGTGAGTGTGCTGAACAGAAACGGTGTCAGAACCTTAAAAGGGACCATGCGCTGCAATGCACTCGAACATAAATCTTCAGCCAAAGTGACGTGCGCTCGGGCAACAACTGTCATGGCACGTAAACAAAAGGTCGCAGATGAATACGGGCTGAATTCCACCATACGTTCGCCAGAGACGATTACACGGCAGTAAGTAAGGCTCAGCTGTTGATTTGTGCAGCTCTGCAAATGTGTTCTCACCCTTCCCGACTCCTGAATGATCTTGACATTCTCTTGACCGAACTTGTACGAGTAGAGCTTCAACAGCCTCTGCGCAATCTCAGACAGGGGGGTGAACTTGGGCTCCTTGTAGATGTATTCTTTGCCATCTTCGTCCTCGAAAAAGCCCTACACAAAAGTGAAAGGCGGTCAGAAAACGCTGATTTTACGATTACGCTTCATGCCATTCAATTCTAAGCGTGCTCACTTGTCATACAAAAGACGTGACACGCACGCCGACAAACGCTGCAGGTTTAGAACAGAGTTGGAACACCCCAGTGCCAAAAGTCATTCTTTTCGGTGCAGCGCATTACCTGTCCAAAAAAGGCCACTCTGAAGTATGTGCCCAGCAGACGTTTGCCGGTATGCATCACCTCCAAAACTTTAGTGTAGGCTCGGTGGAGCGTATCATACACGTGCGTCAGTTTCTGCAGCACCAAAACACAAAAATCGAATTGCTTTAGTGTTAACATACGTAGTACAGGTCCACATTTTGGCCCTTTTGCGGTGGTTCTCATTTGGACTGTTTTGACATCTTTGGGTTAGCGTAATGAAGAGACTGCCGACTGGCAGGAATCAGAGTTAGCTGAGCTGTCAAGAGCAGCAGCCATTTTGGAAGACTGGTTTAAAATTCTGAGATGGCAAGTACATCTTTGACTACCTCAGATATCTTACAATGGAGCTATCCATCTATTCTCTGTCTCACTTATTCTGTCCTGGGTAATAGACAAGTTGGGAGTGTGTCGCGGCTGACCCTGGATTTATCATCAATCAATCACAGCGCTAACACACAGAGACGGATATAGGCTCAGCTGTTGATTTGTGCAGCTCTGCAAATGTGTTCCCACCTTTCCTGACTCCTGGATGATCTTGACATTCTCTTGACCGAACTTGTACGAGTAGAGCTTCAACAGCCTCTGCGCAATCTCAGACAGGGGGGTGAACTTGGGTTCCTTGTAGATGTATTCTTTGCCATCTTCGTCCTCGAAAAAGCCCTACACAAAAGTGAAAGGCGGTCAGAAAACGCTGATTTTACGATTACGCTTCATGCCATTCAATTCTAAGCGTGCTCACTTGTCATACAAAAGACGTGACACGCACGCCGACAAACGCTGCAGGTTTAGAACAGAGTTGGAACACCCCAGTGCCAAAAGTCATTCTTTTCGGTGCAGCGCATTACCTGTCCAAAAAAGGCCACTCTGAAGTATGTGCCCAGCAGACGTTTGCCGGTATGCATCACCTCCAAAACTTTAGTGTAGGCTCGGTGGAGCGTATCATACACGTGCGTCAGTTTCTGCAGCACCAAAACACAAAAATCGAATTGCTTTAGTGTTAACATACGTAGTACAGGTCCACATTTTGGCCCTTTTGCGGTGGTTCTCATTTGGACTGTTTTGACATCTTTGGGTTAGCGTAATGAAGAGACTGCCGACTGGCAGGAATCAGAGTTAGCTGAGCTGTCAAGAGCAGCAGCCATTTTGGAAGACTGGTTTAAAATTCTGAGATGGCAAGTACATCTTTGACTACCTCAGATATCTTACAATGGAGCTATCCATCTATTCTCTGTCTCACTTATTCTGTCCTGGGTAATAGACAAGTTGGGAGTGTGTCGCGGCTGACCCTGGATTTATCATCAATCAATCACAGCACAGAGACGGATATCAGAAGGCAAGTACTAAACTGTACAAGGGATAGAACAAATCCACACACCTCTGTTCAAATGCCAGGATTTTGACAAAGCACTTCAAAAGTTTTTCCACCTTTAACGTGACCTATAACTTGTACAACTCAATTGTGGGGAGTAAAAAAAAAACTTAACCAATCACAGTCAAACTCACACTGTTTATCACCAAAGGAACACTAGTTGTGGATGTTTGCTTAGCTCCCATTTTGAATGACTTTGAATGTGATTCGTTAATTCAGAACACAGCCACATCTTAGTTGAGAGGGTGTGCACACTTATGCAAGTATTTTTTTTTTTTGTCGATTATTTACTTTTAAGCATTCTCTCAAAATTCAATTTAACTGTACAGGTTAAAGCCCATGTTAATTGTGGGAAAAAAAAATATTTAGAAATGATTCCTCTTGGTCTAATTTTTTTTTTCCTATCACAAACACTCATCTTTTAGTCAGGGTTGTGGAGATTTTAGAGGTGCAACAATTAATCGACAACTAATCCATTCATCCATCCATCCATTTTCTGCTCCGATGATCCTCACGAAGGTCGCAGGCCATCACACTTCGACACAACATGGAGGGTTCAATTAAGCTATACCGGATACCGATTTTAGGATCTAACCTCTCCTTCGGGTGTCATACTAGATCCATGGATAGTCGCTACTGAACAGTAATTCTTGACAGATATCGGGGGCTTTTCAGACCATTTCCTCAGCTAACACGTCCATGAAGGAGACTCCTGACCGGCAGAGTGCAACTGCTTTGTTGTCTCTTCATCGAGCTGAGGAGCCTGACGTGATATTTGGAAATACATCTGTTTTAACGTGACCTATAACTTGTACAACTCAATTGTGGGGAGTAAAAAAAAAACTTAACCAATCACAGTCAAACTCACACTGTTTATCACCAAAGGAACACTAGTTGTGGATGTTTGCTTAGCTCCCATTTTGAATGACTTTGAATGTGATTCGTTAATTCAGAACACAGACACATCTTAGTTGAGAGGGTGTGCACACTTATGCAAGTATTTTTTTTTTTTGTCGATTATTTACTTTTAAGCATTCTCTCAAAATTCAATTTAACTGTACAGGTTAAAGCCCATGTTAATTGTGGGAAAAAAAAATATTTAGAAATGATTCCTCTTGGTCTAATTTTTTTTTTCCTATCACAAACACTCATCTTTTAGTCAGGGTTGTGGAGATTTTAGAGGTGCAACAATTAATCGACAACTAATCCATTCATCCATCCATCCATTTTCTGCTCCGATGATCCTCACGAAGGTCGCAGGCCATCACACTTCGACACAACATGGAGGGTTCAATTAAGCTATACCGGATACCGATTTTAGGATCTAACCTCTCCTTCGGGTGTCATACTACATCCATGGATAGTCGCTACTGAACAGCAATTCTCGACAGATATCGGGGGCTTTTGAGACCGTTTCCTCAGCTAACACGTCCATGAAGGAGACTCCTGACCGGCAGAGTGCAACTGCTTTGTTGTCTCTTCATCGAGCTGAGGAGCCTGACGTGATATTTGGAAATACATCTGTTTTTTTTTGAACTGTCCAAAATTGGAGGGAGAGTAACAGTCCATGTATGTCCCTCCCTGTACAATAGGCCTAAAATGACGATACCTCAAAGTCTCTACGTTTTTCCATCCATGGATAGTCGCTACTGAACAGCAATTCTCGACAGATATCGGGGGCTTTTGAGACCGTTTCCTCAGCTAACACGTCCATGAAGGAGACTCCTGACCGGCAGAGTGCAACTGCTTTGTTGTCTCTTCATCGGGCTGAGGATCCTGACGTGATATTTGGAAATACATCTGTTTTTTTGTAACTGTCCAAAATTGGGGGGAGAGTAACAGTCCATGTATGTCCCTCCATGTACAATAGTGCTAAAATGACGATACCTCAAAGTCTCTACGTTTTTCATGAATGGGAATGATGAGCCTGTAGACATCAGCGATGAGCTCATAGCGCTCTGCATTCCAAAGACCATCGGCGCACTCCTCCAACAGCTCCATCAGTACCTCCTGGACAAATAGAATCATTGCAGGGACGTTTTATTGCCTTTTGATTTTCATCTTATTCTTTGTCTGACTCGTCCGTCGATGGGTGGTTCTTTGACACGGCGCCAGAAGTGTGCGCGGCAACATATGGACCGCGCCCCGTGCCAAAGTCTGTTTTGAGTTCCCCGTCATAATTTCCCAGAACAATTAACACTCTCGACAGAGATAAGGGCAATGGTACGCAGGCATTAGGTGACACGTGAGATAATGAAGAAGAAAAAAATGCTGCATCGGGGGCTTCGGAGTGACATGGAATGGACGGACCTCGTTAAAATGCACATCCTGCATCCCGACGTCCTCCATCATGGCTGCCTCTTCATCAATGTTTGGAGTGATGACGCGAAAGGCCGAGCAGCCGTGGCTGAACATTCCTTCCAAATAAAGAGAGGGAAGCCAAACGTGAGGCCTGTTCCTTTCTGCTCTTGTGTAATCTACAGTCCTGTGGGGTCATAAAAAATGTTGGAGCCAAGGGGCAACGGTGCGCTCACCTTTCCTCCACAAGTACTCAGCAACCAGAGCTGCGACGTGCACGTAGCAAATGGCTGCCTGCAAGTAAAGCAGATAAGCTCCAGAATAAATCCAAAATGATGTTCTTAAGAACAGAAGCGTCAGTATGTGTTGTTTTTGTCAAAGCACCTCTGAAAGGTCGCCATTCTTGTTGTGGATCCGGGCCATGCTGTCCAACCAGGTCTTGCGGAGCTCTGGCGTGCTCGTGTACGACTTGGCTAAACTGTACTGGAGGTCCACCAACATCTCCGGGTCATTCTCGTGCTCCTTCATTTGCTCGGTGGCCATGAGCACCGTTCGGATTCGTTTGGTCAGGTCCTTCACATCTGAGGGGAACGCAGTGTGCTGCAAAAACGCAGCGGTGCGCACACAGTACAGTCACGTGACCTTAACCCTAACTTCAGGTCAGGAGCACAAGACGCTTTTGTCCACTGAAGCATCGGAAAAGTTCTGTTGAATCCATTTCGGACTGAACGCAAGAGAAGCACACCAAACAATCTGAACTGAATGAAGTAAACTACCTTTAGGTGAACCGAAATGACCCGCGTAGCGTGACGTCAGCTAATGTGAATTTAAGTTGTGTCAAGTGAAATGTGACATCCATGCATCGAAAGCCAATCGCGGGGTTTATGGCAATTCATGACGTGGAAAAAAAAAAAAAATCCTGACTACCGTTGCGTTTACGCACCAAGAGGGCTGCACAGCATGTACTTTAGGGCCGTGTACTTCATTAACCATTTGTTTTTATCCGCCGTTTGAATTGGTTGCGTTGTAAAGCCATAAAAAAACTAAGCTGATTTCATTTCAGTGTCAGACACCTTAAACCCACCGCTGACCTTGATGCTTTGATCCCCGTTTGCACAGTTGTTAATGATAGACAGAGACTGCTGGAAACGCGTGCTCCCGATGCCGATCACATCGGCGATCAGTTGACTGACGGCGATGACCACCTGAGCGGAATGCAGAGCGAACCAATCTGAGAGACAAACACTGCACGGAAAAAACCAAGAATCCTTTTCATCACAAAGAGGTACCTGCAGATGGGTTCTGACAAACGATTTCCGTCCGGTGTAGTCAAAGTTGCTCTTCATGAGGAGGTAAAGGAGATGGGCGGCGGCATTGCGGAGGGAGCTCAGCTTGGAGTTGCAACACTTCAAGATCTCGTAGCATAGGGAGGCGCACATGTCGGCCCGGCCGTCAAAGAACGTACAGGGGAACTGGAGGATACGTGGGCGAGAAAATCGGATTTCACAGGACCCCGCAAAATACGGCGTTTCTCCGAAAAGTTCAATCTTTCACGACACCAGTCCTGGAACTTTTCTGACAACACTTCGTACAGACCTTCTAAATACAGGATACAAAAAAAAAAAAAAAGGGCATACATGCGGGGACAGCAGGCCAACTACGGCAAGGGATGAAAATGCGGACCTTGCTATATTTTTCCATCTCCATCATAGTTCATCCCAAAAGTGTTTGAGATGCTTTAGGTCAAGGCTCTCAAGTTCTTTCCCACGAAATGAATTCAAGCATGCCTGTTATGGACCTTGCTTGAAAGGGAAGTAAGAGGCCTGGCCCAAACAACAATTGACGAACCAATCATCGATCCATTCATGAAAGATGTACTTCTGTCCGCATATGCCACAGTGAGATATCAACAGGCGTCCTCATCAAGACGGTTCACCTTGAAGATAAAAGTCCTCAGTGAGATGAAGACCTGCCTGAGAGCAGCCTCAGACTGAGGGATCTGCAGAAAGCACAGATGCAGCTCAAATACTTTCTTCATCAGTGGGTTGTGGCCAAGATCTGAGATCAGCTGGCTCTGAGGGAGGAAGCGGCGGTGCGTGTCAACATATTGGATGTGGAGTTCAGAAGGATTGTGCGATGCATAAGACAACAATGGTCATATAGTATCACTGGTTCAGCCATCTAATGTTACTCTCAGGGGGCTACTTGAAGTGGAGGTTTGTTCCCCTCCCACAAAAGATGATTTATCTTCATTTTTTGTTTTGTTTTAAAAGTCCCTTTAAGGGGATGCTGAACATCGATCGCCATTCTTGTCAGGAAAAAGTTCATATTTTGTCTATCATGAACTTGATAACTTCATTATTTTTCGTGTGCAATTAACACTTTTCAAAAAAAAGGCATTTGGCCACTTGCTGTCGACTGAAAATGACATCACGTGTGCCGAGGGGTCAGGTAACAACCAGTCATGGCTCCTGTGATGATCGCAATGAGTACATGTGATGTCATTTTCAGTCGACACCAAAATATTTTTGGTATCCCTTTGAAGAATTTGCATTCATTCAAATCATCGCTGCAAATCCCGTACCTTAAATCCCGTGATGAAAATGCTCAATGTGTCGAGCACGGTCAGACACACCTCCGTGGACACGTTGGCCTCCAGCAAACATTGGCTGGTCACATCCGCTTCTGTATGGGAGTAAACTGGTGGCAACAAAACGAGGTCTGTGTCGATTTATGATAGCCACATCTATGACACTTCAGGAGACATTGCTTGATTAATCAATGTTGCTTGGAGGAAGATAAGTGGTGTTATTGTCATTGTTGCTTGCTACCATTATTATTTTGATATCTTGTTTGATGAGAGAAATAACACAGAGTATACGAGGCTACAAATAAGTGGTTTTGCATCGCAGTTTGGGAGTCAAACTTGGCATTTTGCGCCTCAATAAAGCTTATTAAAATGAAAAATTGCAAATTAGCGTTTACGTGGGAAAACAGAGCTGCCAAATGTTGCGGAAATGTTGCACCCATAACACATCATCATTATTCCAAATATTAAAAAAAAAAACAGCAGCCGCTTTAGATTTAGATTCCTGTCCCTCTGTGCAGGATTCAGGAGGCAGGAAGCCCAGAACCCCCAATGGCTCCCTCGAAACCCATCAGGCAAGAGAGTCTCGTTCGTTATGAGCCTGTCTTTGCTCCAAACTGAAGCACATGATCACGACGCACGTATTTGTCTGTTTGTTTTGTTTTCAGCTCCAACTGGAGTGAAGGGCGTTTCCCTCCACCGGGCGCACCCGTTCCGCGTTTCAATCAAGCCCGCCTTGTATTTAAGGACTGCCGAGCTACCTTGTCTCTTGTCGGATTATTGACCTCGCTTGAGTGCTTCAAGTGTTGTTTTTTTAGACCTTCTCGATACTCCCCATTGTCGCTCTCGTTAGTATTTTTAGTTTTTCCTATTGCTCTTGCTCTTTGCCTTATTGGCTTCTTGACATTTCGTCCCTTGCCTTTTGCAAGCGCTTTTCTTTGTACATTGTTTCTCCTGGCTCCTTGTGACCAGCGATTTCTGTTTTTACTTTGTCAGTGCGCTTTTGTGGAAATAAATATTTTTGTTAACACATTGAGCCTGCATTTCTGGAATACAAAAACATTCAAATGTTCAGTTCATCAGCTAGCTCTGTAGAAGCCTGATAACAATTCTTATCGTTTAAATCTGATGTGTGAGATGAAGGAGACATCAAAAACATGCAGGATCCGGACCCTCGAGGACCGGAGCTGGTGCCCCCTGTGAGAATCACGCTGTGGGTAGTGATGGGAAAAAGAAGATATTTTTGACTCCTCCAGATGGTGCTCTTGGTTTAAATATAAAGGTTAGTGCAATGGAAGTTTATTCAAATTTCACTTCATCTTTAAACCAAAAGTGCCATCTAGAGGAGTCAAAAACTATCACAAGTGCTTCATGAAGCTTCACTTGCCCATCACTAGCTGTGAGTATGTCAGCTGTCTTGTGACGTCACAGCTCAGGGCAGGGCCATCGCTAGTCAAAGCAAACAACAGCAATGCCCTCCATCGCCCCCCCCCACCCAATTGTTAAAAGACTGTAGAATCTTACTGTTGTTGAGCGTATGCGAATTGTCCAATGTCCCGAGCTGTTGTAAGCGGGCGTGCAGGATCCCCGCCCTGTTACGAGACACAGGCAGAGTCAAGGACTTTCGGTCTGGACCCAGAGGCATTGCCGCTTCATGACTCCTGTGGGCAGCGAAACAAATATACGTCCCAAGTCAGTTATGCTTTCACTGAAACCAGATGTGTAGTAGTAGTAGAAAGAAATGATGTCATTTGAAAAAAGCGAGCTACCGTAAGTTAGTGGACTCTTACCGATGAAGGAGAGCGGTTAAGGGCCATAACATTCACTGTATCAAATAGTTCGCCCAGCAGCAATTATGATGGCAGAGCAAGCAAAAAGGATTAAAGGACTCGAAGAAAAAAAAAAAAGCTGACATATTAATTTCAAAAGCTATTGAAAGCAACATTTACTCCACCTGACAATGACTCGCTTCCCCATGTATCGAAACTGATGAAGGCAGACTCTGCAGATTGGACATAATGAAATAAAAGTGAGCTCTGGGTAACCACTTGTACACTGTAATTGGATGCAATATTGCCACACTTACTCCAGCAGTGTAAAAAAGTCCCTCAGCTCCAAGGACGATGCTTTGCGCCAGTATGCATAAAGGGCATCTGAGAGTAATAAAAGTGAGCCGTTATATTCTTTCCGCTCTTTGTGCGTGAACGCTGAGACGGCCGTCCATTTCTGAACCTGCGGCTCAAAATCACAGAAGTGGCCGTATCCTATCGCCGACTTGGGGAGGATTACACTCTGAACTGGTTGCCAATCGGTCACAATGTGATTGTGATTGTATCAAATAAATGAAAATCAGATTTGCAGTTTGAAACGCTCCCACTGGCAGCGACGATTCACACGTAATGCTCCTGTTTACACCAATGGTTGTCAAACGGGGGTACACATATCCCTGGGGTTACGTGAAGGCACTTCTGGAGACTTCCCAGCTACCAAGAATGGCCAACAAAGACCCACAGTGAAGCACAAGCCCAAGCGTCTTACTAAAATGTCACACTAAATGCAAAAAAAAATAAAATAAAAAAAAAACACACACACACAAATAAAAAAAAACATTCTGTTCAGGGCAACAACACATTTTGTGTTCATGGTGGGTCATATTGTTCGTTTTCTTTTTATAAATATTTTAAGATGCAGTTTCCGTTTTTAAAATTGAGACACAAATTTCTTTTGGAGAAGAGATGTGTATTCTGATCCAAAAGGGGGGACGCTTTATGTTGCTAATTATTTATGTGTACAAATCTTTCTTTATGATTCATTATTTCTTTTTTTTTTTCTTGATTATATCTTCGAGATAGCACAACAAATGGAGTTGCAAAGTTGCGTAAATCAGACACGAATGGCACAGCACTCAGTTTTCAGAAAGGGTTTGCGCTGGTTAGGCGGGTACTTGGCTGGAAAAAAATACTTCCCAGGAGGTCCCACCAGTGAGACAAATTCGAGAACCACTCATTGATACTATTCTAAATCTTGTTATTTCCACATTTACCAATTCAAAGGCAGTCATGTTTAAATCGGGATATGTGCATAACGGCTTTGAATCTTCAAACAGATTTAAAAAATGTGAGACCCCCCCCAAACATAGCCCCGAAAAATCACCATCTGTTCTTAATGCTCTTTAAGTGTGCGGTTGTACGTGAGATGTTACACCATGCAAAATAACCATATCTCCATCGACAATGGTGTGTCTCCTCCCCAAAACGAGACCTCTGTTGCATTACCAAATCTGACCCGTGAGAAGGAGCCTCGCGTGCGAGGGAAAATTTCATGGTGAGGACAGAAAATGTCCTCCGATTCTGGAATAACCCAAATACTGCAACGCCGCCATTGGTTTCTGAGAGTTAAAATCTCAATAAAAATACAGTTCAAATGCTGTCGGTATGTCATCACACCAGTTATTTTTTTGTTGTTGATGTTTTTTTGTTTTTTTGTTTTGATTCCTGTGCACTGTTGCGATGTTATACGGCAAATTGCCCTTAAGGTCCAGTTATTGCCCAGCCATCCAGAGAGTGCTCAAAGCCCCGAGATGAGACACTATAAATCTAGCAGCTTCAGTTTCTTTCTTTCTTTCTTTCTTTTATTCAGCTCAGCAACAGCATTCACACACAATTCCCTCCAAAATAGTATGCGGATGTTTTTAGTAAATGGTGATATGATAACACTACAAAGAAACGTACATACCTTCTGACATGCTTTTGAGGATATGCAGAAAGCACGTGAGCAGGTTTTTGCTCTCATCTCGGTCCATTTTATCACATCGCAGCACAGCGCTGCGAAGATTAGAAGCACAGTGGTCCTGATACAAAAGAGAGTGAGAAACTCAAGTTTAACCCGTAGACAGTTTTGAGAAGGTGAGAAAATTGACTCTTAGAAATACAGTTTTACTCTAAAACGTACAAGCAATTGCTGGTGGTTGAACCAGAAGTGGTCAGAATAATTGTATGACCTCCACATGGTTTCCAACCACCTGCAGCTTTAATGCTAATCTGGCCGTCACGCCGCTAATAGAAGTAGAAAAGAATTGAGAACACCATGATGAAACATTTCAGTTGCCCTTAAAAGTATAACAAGTGTAACTCTAAACCTCTGTAACATGGCCACGCTATGAACACGGTGCTTAAGTGTATTAACATAAAAATGGACATAAATATTGATGCAATTACTGAACAATGTTATTGCACATAAAAGTTGAATAAAAAAAATAATGAATCTGACTTGGGGCGAGAGGCGGGGTACACCCTGGATTGGTCACCAGCCTATTGCAGGGTGACAGATTGCCTCCTCCCAAATGTCTCATTGTGGTGGCGAGACGTTGGAGAGAAAAGGCTACAGAGGCTTTATGTGCAAGGTGTATGGTAGACAGACTGCACAAAAATCAAATGAACACGTTATAATATATATTGACCCAAACAAAAAAAAAGAATAAAAAAGGAAATGTCTAATTCGGGTAATTGTCTACCTTCTCCAGGGCCTGTGCTCTGTCGCAATTCTTTTCCAGCAGGCTGCTCTCAGAGTCGGTGGAGACCAGCGAGCCTCGGGAGTCCGCAAGGCGAACTGAACCAACGTTGGGAGTGGAACTGTGAGGAGAGGCTGCAGTGACGGATCAGGGTTAGTACACAGCTTCATTAAAGTCTGGATCAAGAATGATCGACACTCCCTAAATGTCATATGGTGAAAAAGTTATTTGACAGTATATGGTGCCGAGTTGTAAGAGGGAACCTCTGAGGCAGTCCAGTAACTCAACATTGTGGCTGGAGATGTACTTTTGTCTGTGAGTGTTTGGTAATTATCAGAAGTAAAACAGGAGTCCAGTCGTTTTGTCTGAGGAAAGTTCTCTAAAAGAGCCTAGAACATGAATTTAGATATACGACGATAATATTAAAAAAAAATAATAATAATAATAATAATAATAATTTTTATTTACAACACACTTTACATTCAGGGAACAAATCTCAAAGTGGACTGATATTGTGGAGACATAATGTAACTGGTTTCACCATTTCAGTTTTTCGGATTTATTTTTTCGGGGCAGGGGGTGTTCAGTTGCAGGTGGCGACAGTAGGTCGATGTCTGATTTTTCGTGATTTTGAGTCCTCAATTCATACACTTATACACTTTATACACAAGGAGTAGTATGAGTTTAACGTCCTTGAGGGCAGCCATACCCAGGAGAAAATTAACCTTTGGTGAAATGCTGTTGAAGGAACTCACTTGCTGCAAAACCATCTTTGTGAAGAGCACCGTCAATGTACATGCTCTGCTTTTGAGGGGTCACCAGAGAGGTCACCGCCAGTGAGTCCTCTCGTGGTTTCTGGCAGCAAGACACAGCAAAATAGGGAAAAACATTTTCAAAACATTCTGGGAAAATATTTGGAGAGCTCGTTTCCTAAATAGGATAAAAAAGAAATTTTGAAATGGTCACTCCTGCCTTTTGTTTACAAATTCCGTAAACAGGCTCTATTAGAACTTTTGTTGCTTTAACAGGATAATGAGCTTTTTTTCATGTATAGTTTGATGTAAATAAATTTCCATAGGCGACGGGCTGGCAACTTATCCAGGGTGCACCTCTCGCTCAAAGTCAACTGGGGTAAGCTAAAGACCATTTGCGACCCAAGTGAGAACAAGCAGTGTGGAAAACGGCATGGATAATAAAAACGGATTGAGATGGTTTTGTTTGGAAAATAGCTTTTTTTGCTCGCTGTCCTTCTAACTGCTGCAATTCTCTCTGATACCACCAGATGTCAGACTTACATTGTGCTGGTTTGGAAGAACAAACTCCTTGCTTTCAAGCCTGTGGGCGTTTTCTTGTAGTAGGCCAAACAAGGGCAGGTAGAGAGTGGCAAGTCTGGCCTGATGGCTCTGGAATGGAGATCATCAGATGGGTCATTCCACCGTTGGAGGACGTTTTTTGTCTCCGCTGTTATATTTTGAATAATCCATGCAAAAAATACCAAAACGTGCACTTGTGGTGTCAATTATAACTGTCCTTAGACAAAATGGAGCTGCAGCTGTCGTAAAAGTGATTAGCAAATATTATTTAGAGTACAGGTACCAAGAAGCTCTTGAGCACCACCTACTACAACGATGTTTATCCCCTCTTGTTGACCAATGTATTTATTAAATTCAACAGATCAAATTACTTTTAAATCACCTTTTTTTTATGTTGATTATGTTGACGCCTTTCTAGTGATTGTTCAAACATTTTGTTTTATCACAAATATATTTCAAATAGTAGCAACCATGCCCTAAAGTCTCTCAACATCCACGCAACCCTGTTACCAACATCTCTTTCGCCATATTCTATTGTAGTGTATCGAAAGGACGACTAAATCAGTTAGCATCGCGGCTAACATAGCTGGCATGGACTGTTGAGCAAACACTCGAACATTAGCATTGATTTGCATCGCCGTTACTGTAACCTACATGAAATCCGTGTGAATGCGTAGCATTGATGATGGAAGTGGAACGTAACAATCTGATGGTTTAGAACGTGTTTTTCTTTCTACTACATCTGAATAACATACAAGATGGACACTCACTTTGGCGGCATAGCGATCATCAAATGCGTGTTTGACCATCAGCCGCTTCAGCACCTGGATGGCGATCTGCTGAATTTCTCGGATCTCCCGTAAGGCGCTGCCCACCTCCCTCAGCAGCAGACCCACCAAGAAGTGGTTTCGACAGAAGTCATCAGTCAATGAATAGTCCAGTTGAAGCTCTATGGACCGAAGTTCAGGCAAATGAACTAAATAACAAAAACTACAATTGAAAAAAGAAGTTTGTTAACGAAATAAAATAAAAGCGAGGCTTCGTTTTAAAAAAGAAACTCATGAACTGAACTACATTTCACTTTTCTAAAACTCCTAAAACTAATGACAATTACAGTTAAAATGTACTTAGTTTTTATCTTTGCCAATTAATTTAACACACGAGCTTTCGTGGTTGATTTTGAATTCGGTATGACTGTACGGCCATATTAAAGAAGGAAGGTCCAACAGTCATTTGGGAATTGTAGTTGACTTTACCTTCATACAATACTTATTTTGCTTATTTTGGCATTTTTTTGACCAAGGCACTCGACAAATACCGGTACTTAATATATTTACAACAAAAGCAAAAAAAAAAAAAAAAAACAAAAAAAAAAATCTAAAACTAATCAAATCAAAAACAAAAACAATGCAATTTTCTAAAAATTAAAAACTAAGAAACACGCTCTCAAAGCTAATTAAAAACTAAACAAGTTACAAAAAAATCAAAACAAACTTCAATGAAAAACGTCAAACTATTAAAACTGCTATGAACAACAATGGAACTCAACAGTGCTTGAGCACATCTGGATCTCGAGACTGACAATGAATCAAACTTACCTTGGAATCTGTGTATGCGTCCTTTTCCAAACGGCATGGGAAGATTGAGAGGAATGTAATGCTCATGGTTGCACACGATCCTCAGGAACTCAAATTTAAACTCATACAAAGTCTGGAAGAAAAATGGGAGACATTTTGCAGTGTGTGGCTTGAAAGGGAGCTTATCACACCCAAAATGTGAAAGAGCTGCATTTCAAAACCTTGGAGTCGCCAGGTATAAAGCAATTCATGTAATTATTGATCTGCTTGAACACAAATCCACGGTCCATGAAGGTGAAGCAGCGCTGATGGGAGAATAGAAATAACAAAGACAATGTTGACAATGCTGAAAGATTGACCCCAATGCAGTTGGGAATATCGAACAAGGGAGATACTGTAAATGGTTTAATGCCGATTCCAGCTGCAGACCAACCTTAATGAAAACCGCCAGGCTGTGATTAGCATTGCGCGCCGCATCCAGGTTGTCCTTGTATTTCTGGGTGATGTGAGGTATCAGCGTGTTGACCAAGATCTCAACAGCATGGTAGAAGGAGGCGGAAAAATGTTGGTTTCTTGACAGCTGCACCAAGGCAAGAAATGGAAGAAATAGAGTTTAAATTTCAGACAAGGGTAATGGGGGCGGTGCTGTTACAACGCCTGAAAAAATACTTACCTTGACTTGACCACTCTCTGTGAGATAATGAGCCATTGATTTGACCAACGCTTCAAAGAAGTACCAAGAATGCTGCAACGCAAAGTCAAATATGTTTAAAAAAAAAAAAAAAGAACATCCCTGGAAAAAGCAAGGAAAAAAAAACAAACAGAGAAGCTAAACACATCAGCTCGGTTAATTTGCTTGTATTTGTATTCTACTATTTATTCATATTTACTTCAGTGACTTAAAAGTGAATACAGTCCACACCTGTAGAGAGAGCATATGCAGAATGAATCATTTTTCCCCCCAAAACGTCTAATGTAAAAAATCTTAATGTGGCTTAATGTCAGAAAACTACAACCAATCATGTTCAAAATTCACATGCTCTACCTGTGCCCACTTCAACCTCTGAAAACTAACGGCCGTTAAGTGTTTTTCTCTTCATTTAAAAAAAAAAGTAACATGGCTTAATGTTAGAAAACAAACTAATCGCCACCAAAATTCATGTGCCAACGGGTGGTCGTCGTTTTCTAACATTGCGCCACATGAAGCTTTTTTTCCTCTTTCGTGAATGTCTACAGGGAGGAAAACGCTTCGTGCCCATGAAATATAAAATACTGCGACGATTGCTTTGATATTTTCAGAGGTTGAAGTTGGCCTAGGAGGAGAGGTGAGTTTGAATTCCGGCGGCGACTGGTCATGGTTTTCTGAAATTAAAAAGTGATTAAAAAAAGAATTCATGCCCTTTAAGCATTTTAAACTGTCCCCTTTAAAGTTGTCCATATAAATACCATTATGTCTTTATCATTACATTCATTTTGGTTTCAGAATGTCAGAAACCTGTTAACTTTTCGACGAAAATCCTCAGGAACGTATTGGTCAATCATACAATTGTTTTCCCACTTCCACATGTTTTAAGGATTTTACATGAGTTATTTCGACCCGTGGGAGTCTTCCTGTCGACTTTTAAAAACAGCGCGAGCCACGAGCGCGGTTTACCTTCAGCAGCTTGTTGCTTGTTAGGAAATCAGTGGATGGTTTCAGAATTGCTGTCATGGCTTTTGTCAGCTCCTCATGAATGTTGCTTTCACCATTGGCGGAATAAGGCTCTGGTTTAAAGACAAACTGTGCAAAAATATTTCCCGCTTTTTTTTTTATTGGGGAAAAAAATAGTAGCCATTGTTTATATTGTATCCACGATACACATTGCAAACCTTGACATAAGACCTCAGGTAATGCTCAAGCCCCTCTTCGTGGCATTGCGCTACAATGTGCACCATTACCCTAAAGAGAAAAAGATTGTTGTTCAAGAGAAAACAGAAGTGGAGTATAATAACCCATAGCGGCGGTAATTGTGGCCTCGCCTTGTCACGTTGACAGCGACATCTTCATGCGAGGCCCCGGTGAGGACACAAAACAGCTGGTTGAGGATGGTGGGAAGAAAGTTCACCATGACGTGGCCTTCCATGGCGTGGAGACTCTGGCAAGGAAGGGAGTAGAAGGCATTCGGTAGGACGTGAACGCATGGCAAGCAGGGGGGTTTTCCTTTAAAACATGAAATATGTCACCTTCAGGAATTTCACCAGCCCGCCCTCTGACGGTTGTTCTGACACTTGGATGCTTTCACAGTGGTGAAAGAAATTGTGCAAGTGTTGATCCTAAATAAATGAGGAATGATGATGTCAGAAACGGATCTCACAACCAGAGCGCAATTTCAGTGGAAATCGCCCGTGAATGCTGAAGAGCTGATGCCGGACTGAAATGTTTCAGAATTAATTGAATTGTTGAAATGTAGAATGTGAGGCTGGGAGGATTTGAAACGGTCAAGAAATGAAATATCTCTCATGTGGGGAGACAGAGAATGGTTGGTTGGATGGAAAAAAATGTGGCAATTTGGGCTCTTCAGCATTGCACGGTGTAACGAGAGGTCCCGATGTGTTTATTTCAATGATACCTGAGTGTAAATTGTGGAAACGAGATGCGTTGAGACTTTGAACAGCGGCTTTCCTCCGTCAACCCACTTGATGTCCGAGCCAGATTGCTGTCATGACAAATGGTGGATTGGCATACATGACTTCTGTCAACACTCTAATTCCAATCCCAATGGGATCTTTCCAACAGGAATGTTCATCGTCACAAATTTCCTTCACAAATGAGCGACTGTTAACATTTTATTTTTACCTTCGTGACAGCATCTTGGCAACTGAGGTAGCCCGTGGGCAAATGAGCAGCCACGGGTAGCTGCTGCTCACTCATGTTGACCCGACCATCTCTTAGCAGAGGCCACCATGCTGAGCCCACTGTCGGAACACAGCACACATTTTTACCAGTCCCGGATAACGGCTACCATAAAAGTAGAAGCACGGTAGCCACGAAGGGTGAAGAAAACATCACCTAACCCGGGGGGGTGGCAACCTGCGGCTCTTTAGCGCCGCCCTAGTGGCTCTCTGGAGCTTTTTCAAAAATGTTTGAAAGTGGAAAAAGATGGGGGAGGGAAATATATCTTTTTTGTTTTAATATGGTTTCTGTAAGAGGACAAACATGTCACAAACATTCTTAACGTTTTCCGATGCTATAAAAATGTGTAAAAGGATATTAAATTTCAACATTTCTGTTAACGACCGTTTGCGTCATAGCCTGCGACACACGTTTCTATTATCAGGACGGGATGGCAGGCAGGTGGCTGTTCTTTAAAGAAAATGGCGTTTCATGCACAATTCACCGAGGGTCCGGGCAACGAATGGGAATGTGGATGGCTAAAAGAAGCATTTTAAACACGACACGTGAGCTACGATAGTTAACACGATGCAAAAGTGCGTCCCATGCCTCGATCACTTGGGGGCCGTTATGGCTGTTGGTCATTACGGCATGCGTGTGAAAGTGAACGGGTCGATCTCGGGAGGCTGGTTGATCGAAAAGTAGATCTTCGGTCAAAAAGGTTGGGCACCCTGCTCTACGGGATGCACTACAAGGGAAAAAAACATTTAATCATGAATGCTCATTGTGTATTTGTAGCCAACTTATTCATTTTGATAGTAGGCTAATGTAGATACATACGACGTTGCACAGCACATTTGACAGTAAAGTTGTACTTGACTTGACATGTGTTGCCTTCATAGTAAGGCTTTTAATTTTTTGAGGCTGCAGACATATTTGGTTTTTGTTTTCTTGGTCCAATATGGCTCTTTCAACATTTTGGGTTGCCGACCCCTGACCATTTAACTATCGAACAATGTACCATTGCTATTAACTTTCATTAATAGCAATAGTACAAGTTTATTGTCCTGGGCTATATTTTCATCAATATAGCACGTTGTGGTCTGAGAGCAGCCTACCTGGGGTCTCCACCACATCTTTCTTCTTCTTGTTGTTGTCACAGCTAATGTGATAGAAGGTAAAAAGCAGGTGGTGCTTTTGGTGCAGTTGAGTTGGCAGTTCTATCTTTATCTGGGTTGCAGGAGAGATAAGAGATTCCTTCATGGTGGCTCCCATCATAGTGAAGAGTAGATTAGTAGCACTATCTTGTCACATGACCACAAAGATTCTGAGAGGGATAAATTGTGGTGAGACGAAATGTAACCTCGTCGTAGAATTCAGGGTTCTGGTGGTGGTGCAAAACAGCTGCGTAAGCTTGTTTGATGAATAGGGAACTTCCAGGATGGCCATAGATGCACTGAGGTTAATATTAAAAAAGAAAAACAGAAAAAAAAACAAAACATGCTTCAATAAATAAAACCTCAAATTTAAACAAAAAAGACAAGACTATTCACGTCGCCGATGATGAATTATGTAGCGAGATCCACTCGTTTTTAATCTATTTTAGGGGGCGTCCATTTTGCCACTTGCGGTCAGCTGAAAATGACATCACAGTTGATGAGGTAACAACCAATTAGGGCTCATCTTGCGAATATCACATGACCAAACTCAGAAAACTCAGGTGAGCCCTAGTTGCTTGCCCCTGAGCAACTGTGATGTCATTTTCAGTTGACAGCATGCGGCGAACTGAGAGCCCCTGAGATAGATTTAAAAAAAAAAAAAAAAGGATGGATTTTGCTGCTTAATTAAAATATCCAACAGATGCAATGTTAATAAGAATACTGTATTTATACAAGTTGGGGTGCACAGATCTTTTTATTGTTTTGAAATTTTTTGAGTTATCTTCCCCTTTGTGTTTGCTGTGTGTTAATAATATACTGTTATGTTGCGACAACGCGAGATTGTATGACTTCACGTGTGATGATGCGACACTAACTTTAAACCAAATAACGACTTGACTTCGATTCAAGTCAGATTTTTATGAGATCCCTAACGTATCCAACTGTGTCAAATGACTTCAAATTCTGAACTCGCACGTACGACATGCTGATGAATTCTCTTGATGCTTTTCTCTGACGACTGACCTGGCAGGCATATTACATCCGAAAAAAACAAATCGGAACATACCCTTAGTGGTTGAGCGCCCGCTTTGTCAGAATCCTTGAATTCAATGCAAACTGCAATATTTCTGGCCTGAGGAGACAAGAAGTACATTGGGGAAGGATGACTTCAAATCCCCCTCTAAAATGACAAAAAAAACCACATTCTACTCATACTGTGACATTGCAGAATCCTGCTGACAGCTAAAATAAACGGAAACAGATACTTCTAAGACAAGTAAAGTGAAAATATTTGGGAAACGGGGGGGATGGGGGGGGGGGACACAGACGCACTGCTGCGCGCTTCAGTAAAAACAGGGCAAGTAAGAAGGTACATGGACAGATGGAGAAAATTTGTCTCTTTGGAACAGGCTAACATTGAGAAAATGCAATTCATGACAAGCCCTGCCCAGCTTCTTTGCCGACGTGGCTGCCAGTTGATTTGTAACCTTAAAAGGAGTTCAGGTGAATATCATCTAAAATCTTTCCGATCAGGCAAATCATGCCGTTATATTGCACATACCTTAGCAAACGATTTCTGACCGTCATATTTGAGGTGCTTTGGATAGACATAAAGATGGTTTTTATAGGCGGTGAAGGGTTGGGAGCATTTGGCGATGGAGGGTACAAATTCCTCCACCTCCAGAGCGGCGCCGCTTGATCCATTGACTTCAAAGTTCCTCAAAGGGATGTAGGAGGAAGTGAGGCAATCTGCAGTAAAGGGGACACAAGATGCTTTCACATTAATTTGCTTTTGGGAGAGGGTTATTTTCTTTTGTGTGTCAATATCGAGGAGATTTACTGGTCACATCCGGGGCCACGCAATCAAGAGTTACATCCAGATTCCCTAACAGCACAGGAAGTTTCGCCATTTTCTCTGGTCTGTTGGGAGGACAGAATAATGAATGGAAAACAGCTGGAAGAACAATTCGCAGGCTGATGAGAACCAAGGAAGGACGGGGGGGGAATTTACTTTCTAAAGTCAGTGAGAAGTTTGAACATGTCCTCATCGGACAACTTGCCGCTGTCCTGACGGTAAAGCGCGGGAAAGTGAGCATTTTTGTCCAAAGTTCCCGATGCATCTTTGAACACAGGCCTGTGGGAATAAATAATGCATCAGTGAAAATCACATTTCAATTCGGCATCACGGGTTTCACCATAAAGTATTTGGCTCCTCTTACATGCAAAAATTAAGTCAGCCAGAAATTGTGAATCAATGTACAGTAATTGCGTTGATCTGATCGAGACGACCCTTGGCGCACACAATTTACATAATAATAATAATGAAGGAGCATGTTTGCAAGACAACAGCCTGATGTGTTAATACGGTCTACTTACAAGGAGTAAAAAATATTGGGATTTTGGACGAAACTTCAAGATGAACCTAAAATGCAAGACAATCTTCACAGGTAAACCAAAAGTGGCCTTCTTTAAATTTTAACCCTTTCAGGGACAGCGGTCACTTCACTACAAGTTACAGGATATCATTATTGGTGCATGAAAGGGTTAAAATTCACATGTGCAACCGCTCCATGTTCCATTTTTTTTTTTTATTGTACAACTTACTGTTCTCTCATAAGAAAACCTTGAACAAACCCCGACGAGAACACATTGTCGCTGTCTTTGAAAACAGATCGCCGCTCAAAGAAGTGGGAGGCTTCGGTTCGATCAGAATCGATATATAAACAGTCTTCTTCCTCATGATTTTACATTTGGATATCAGGAGAGAAAGACAACAGGATTTGAGGTCTGTGACGATTGAATATTTTTTAGAATAGAGCACGCTACTGATTATCCTTTGAATTAGCCCTTTCAGGGACAACGGTTACTCCATTGGACAGCTTATCATGCGATCAGGTTACAGGGTGCATGAAATGAATGATCGGATAGAAAATTATTTTTTCAGAAATCTCCTGCCTGACCACCACCACCCATTCATCCATCCATTTTCCGATCCGCTTATCCTCACAAGGGTCGCGGGGGGTAGCTGGAGCCTATCCCAGATGTCTTCGGGCAGTAGGCGGGGGACACCCTGAACCGGTTGCCAGCCAATCGCAGGGCACACAGAGACGAACAACCAGCTGCGCTCACACTCACATCTGGGGACAATTTTGGGTGTTCAATCAGCCTGCCATGCATGTTGTTGGAATGTGGGAGGAAACCGGAGTACCCGAAGAAAACCCACGCAAGGACGGGGAGAACATGCAAACTCCACACAGAGCTGGAATTGAACCTGGTACCTCTGCACTGTGAAGTCTACGCGCTAACCACTGGACCACCGGGCTGCCCTTGCCTGACCACCACTGCTCCAATTTATTTCAACACGCCATGTAGTATGTGGGGAAAATGATGCTTGGGCTAGAATCAGGCCACATCACGCAGGTGATAACAATTAAACGAGATCTCGAGGCAGATTCTGCTGCGACCTTTTTTGTAATCAAGTTATTCGAGCTACTCAAGTAAATGTTTCAGCCCTAGTACACTCAAAAGTACCATTGGAAGCTTGAAACAAAATAACAGAGAAGACATCGTTGTCAGAGGGAAGTGGCCTCTGAGCTTCGGTTGTCACAGAGTGTACTCCGCAGGTTGTAAAAAGAATACCAAAAGCCGTAGACGTGGATGTCTTTTGAACTATTGATGGATTAAACACCAATGGTGAATTTAGGTTCTTAGAAAAGAGCAACCTGTGGGAAAAAAAAAAATACTGAAACTGAAAAAAAAAATAGAGATGGTTGTAGGGCATGACAGGTTCATGCAGAAATTTCTTCTGGCATCCGGATATCCCGAGTTTTATGGAGTAGTGTGAAGTAAAAGTGTTCAGAGCTCAGTGGGGAAAATAAAACACCTTGCAGACCAGGCGAACGGCATCCGGTACCGGCTCAATCTGCTGCAGGCCATCTTTGCGTTCTTCAGCACCCTAAGAGCCATCTAATCAGGATAGGAGAGCATTTTTCAGAAACAGAATCAACAAAATCGACGACGCAGTCAAGAACATGCTGCCATTGCCGTGCCGGCACCTTTGTGGAGTCTGAGCTCTTCATGTAGGGTTCAGTACAATGGGTGATGCCCCCTTGGAGCACCTTTTCAATCCTCGCCACCAGGAAGATCTCAGGATGGGGGCAGGTGACTGAAAACACCCCCTGCGTGGGGTACTGGAGCGCTGCCTCTGGAAAACCGCTGGCCAGCCTTCGGCTGCCAAAGGGCCCCTCGCCCCTTCGCTCGAGATGAATTTGAAAATGGACAGGAGCCGACAGTGGACAAAAGGGTGATTTGTGACTTTTATAAGAGCACGTGCGTTGGTTGTTGGGCCTTCTCCATCCTCCGCAATGCAGCACTGCAGGTTGAACAGCAAGTCGTGACAGCTGACCAAGAGCCTCTTGCCAAATTTCTCCTCAAATTGACGCACGTCTGGCTCAAGGCGAGTGAAATCGAGTCTCTGTGAACGGAGGCACGCTTGCCATCAAGTTTGACAAGAACGGATCGTTTAAATTATACCATACCTGGGCATCAGGGTCCAGTGAAAACAACTTCAGCAGTTTCTGTGAACGGAGGCACGCTTGCCGTCAAGCTTGACAAGAACGGATCGTTTCGATTTGACACATTACCTGGGCATCAGGGTCCAGTGAAAACAACTTCAGCCTGGCTTCGCTCCTCATTTTAAACTCATTATCTCTGGCCGTCTAGAAAGGAAGCAAAAACACAGAGCTGGCACAAAATTCAAATGCAAATAGCAGAAAAAAATGTGCGCGCTTCACTCATTGTGGTGCTTCCCTTTTCATTAGCATCGCTTCGCTATTCTTGCAATGAGCATTTCTGGTTCTCTTTCTAAATTGTTCTACAAAATAAGGTCAGTGTGCCTGAGAGAAGGTCTGAAGACGGCGTTGACAAGAATTGCTCAAAGGGGGAAAGAAAAACTATCCACCTGAAAACTGTCCTGAAAAGTTTCAGAGGAGAGGTCGGCTTTTCCGTCATCCTCATCTGTGGAAAAGATCAAGTTGAGTTCTTTTGGTTGACGATATGATTTAAAACACCGCGAGTCAGCAAGGATTACAAGACAAACCACGTGATGAGATATTGAACTCATTGTTAGACATTGATGACAGAGGTGGAATTCTTTTTGGATGGATGGAATCATAATATCGAACACAATTCCTGACAAATGTGTCCCAAAAAAAAACCCATACCATCTTGTAAGTCCCTGTGATGTTTCTCCTGTCCGGCCTGTTCGAAGTTGCTATGGAGGATTTTGTTGAGCGTACTGACCCATTCCTCCATCTCCAGTTCACTCTCTGCAGCCAGCAAGAAGGTGCTCTTTTCTTGCATCTTCAGCTCAAAGCCAAACCTCCTGACTTTATTGTTCTGCAAAGCCAAGATATGAACGAACAAACGGGGAGTTTTAAACTTTCCCCCCCAAAAAAAAAATAAGCAAACAATTTTGTCATATGTGTGAAAACGGTCGTTGTGACTTGGCCGTGATAAATATGATCTGTGGAAAAAAACAAGAAGCTGTTTTTGTTGCACACTCGCAGGAACACTGATCTGTCACACGGACAACACAAAAATGTGTCTTGTCGTAGCACCCGGTTGGGAATAAGGTGCTTTTCTGGGGTAAGAAGGTAACAGGTCCCCACAAGGCTTCAGGGTTGGGCCAACGAGTGTGCCGGCCAGTGCGGAACAAACGATTGACACCAAAAGTCAGGCCTTTTGTCTCTGATTGGTTGTTTTTCCACAGGCGCGGTGGTTTCTTGTATGTCGTTTCTCACTTAGGTTCCAGAAACACCGCCGCGGTAGTCGTAGTGACCATATACAGTACACTATGTATTCTATTATTTATGTATACAGTATTTGAAAGCTTCATGCACAATTCCACTACAAAATGAGTGCATGTGAGGTGTGTTGTTATTGTTGTCCACTTGGGGCCGCCATTCTCACATTTTACACTGTAGTATCTGTGACTTTGAATGTGTGTGACTTTAAAAGGCGCAGCCTAGCCTGTTGAGCGACATGGTAGTAAGCGAATGAGAGTGTAGACTTGCACCAGTATTTTTTTGTTGACCAAAATAGGGTTTTGTTTTCTATTTTGTTGTTTTTCAGGTTGCATAAATGTGACGTTGGCTAAAATGCAGTCTTCACAAAATAGTTCCGTTTTGCTTGACGCTGTCGGAGTGGTATTTCCTGAACAATGTTTTCATGATGGTGATTTTAGTTTTTACCTGTCTGTGCCACTGCACTGCATCATAGTGAGAAGTTTTTTCCAATATTTTGTCCTTCTCATGCATCTTAATGAGGTTCCCAAAATATTACAGACAGGCAGCTCGGTCTTCAATTCTACACTTGTGCAAACTATATTGAAATCACAACAATAAATGTTGTTAATTCAGGTGTGTTTTACTTTCACCTCTCACCTGAACAACCCCCATGCATGAATCAAGGAAGATGGTTCCCTTGGGTTCCTTGGAGGTGTTTTCGTCCTTGTAGAAATTGAGATTGTATGATCCGTCTCCAAGCTGAGCCAGACGGAAGTATCTCCTTTTGAAGGACTATAGAATGACAATTAATGAGGCAGCTGGAAGAAAAGTCGAACAAATGCCAAAAAAACAACCTCGGCCTCATTAAGGAAAGTTAGCAATCTGAAAGCTACTATTCGTGTTGAGACAAACCCTTTCAAGCAAAGTTGCAGGCCAGGAAAACTATAAACAGCAGTTTTAAGAAGATGAAAAGAAAAGAACTGCCTGTACTGATTTTTAAGACATGAATACCAACCATTGACCGACTCTGGAATGGGGCGTACAGAAGATAACAACGCTAGGAGGAGTTGTTTTGGTACTCACTCGCATCGTAACACTGATTGCGCTGTTGACGTTGCCCTTGTACAGCCAGCCGTGTTTCGACACTCCTCCCTTGTGAGATCCAAGCGAGTCTGCGTCCTGCGGGAGAGAATGGCGAGAAAACGCATGAAGGCAAAAAAAAAAAAAAAAGGCCCAAAATATTGAGAAAACAATTCAAAGCAATAACGTTATTCCATATTCTGTTTTGGAACGTAGCCCCCTTGACATACGAGTGATTACTGCATGTTCTCATTTTAAGAACATCCAATTGCAAGTTTCTACGGGTGGTTCAAAAGCATGATGAGATTTGTTACCTCGTCTTTTTCCACATCTTCATCCACCTCAAACAGGTGAGTGACCAGCTTCTCAGGCCTTAACACCTTACTGCAGGGAAGAGGACATTTGACCTGATTTGACATATTCCGTGCATTCAAAAATGACATTCCTAAATGATTTCTCATCACGCCAAAAATGATTCAGTAATTTTCACTTGATCAAACGCAGGCGTGCTTGTCAAGTATTTTGTTGAATGGTTGATCTTTGCTCTTTTCAAAAGCCAACTTCCAGTATTTGCCCAGCGTATATTCTCTACGATATCTCAAATATGACACCCAACATCTGGAAAGCTAATTTCCTTTGATCCAGCCTTAATCCTGAGCTTTTGCATATTCATTCATTCTAGTTTAAAATTCTACTGACACTGATTTGGAATGGAGAGGGGAACAGCTGTTGCTCTGGCGATCGTGCAACATTGTTGGTTACCATTTTCAATAGTAATGAACAATATCAACCACGGTCTAAAAATAGCAAAGTGAATGAGTGGTTGATGGACAGTACATCTTCTATTGTTTGGCATTGTGGTTACAAAACAACTAATTTCCCCATAAACTTCAATCCGGGATAAAACATTTAAAAGACATGCAGAGTCGGACTGTTCGTCTCCTAACATGACATTTTACAGATTTTCCATCCCGCTTCATACATTACAATTCAATACAGTTTTATATATATCGCGCATTTCACATCAGCCGCAGCTCTAACAAATCACTTTAAATTGAACATAAAATAACAACAATACGACAAAAAAAAAAAAAAAGAAAGTGAAAACAGTAAATGAAAACACAAACTAGTGACACACATATACAGTAGACACCAGAAAATAAAACAGCAGCGTATCGGTAAGTCTCATGTTTGGGTCAAAAGCTGAGGAATAAGATGTGTCGTCAAACCAGTTTAAGAAACAGACAGGGATGGAGCTTGCCTGACAACAGAAAAGGCTCAACCCCCTCTGAGCCTCCACTTTGTTCTCAGTACCTCTTACAGTGTCTGGTCCGCAGACCTGAGGCACCGGTCGGGTGCGCAGGGGTGGAGGAGCTCAGAGAGGCAAACTGGGGCAAGGCCATTTCAAGATTTGAAGACAAATACAAGTATCTCAAAAGAAAAATATACTGGGAGCCAGTGAAGAGAAACTAGAATTGGCGTTATGTGCTCCCTCTTACGAGCTCCAGTTAGGAGGCAAGGAGCAGCTTTTTGGACCATCTGGAGACGCTTGAGGGAGGACTGGCTGACTCCAAAATAAAATGCGTTCCAGTAATCTAGCTGGGATGTAATTATTACTGTTTCGAAGTCCTGCTGAGAAAGGATGTATCCGCAAGGGCTCCTGGGACCCAACACCATAACATCCACTCTTTGATTTCCTCTCGACAAGACAAAAGTGGTCTCAAAGAGAACGCATCCTTTTTGCTCAGCGGGACATAGAGCTGACTGTCATCCGCATGAGTAGTAGAAGGAAATAGCGTCTTTTCTGAGGATGGAAGCTAAGGGCAGCAAATCCAGTAAAAGTTAGCTTCAGACTCACTTGGGAAGCTGTCGGAAGTCCCCAGAATATTCCTCATACTTGTAATTGACCACATGCCAGTCTGATTGATATGTTTTCATGCACTGCGGAGAGACAAAGTACAAATATGCATTGTCAAAGAAATACATCAATGCCAAAAAGGCCAGTTCAGAAAAAAACGACTTTGATATCCATTCTGTTAATTTATAACATGTGGAGTGAGGCAAAACGTCTGGAATCTGGAATCGTTCCCGTTTGTGTCCTGCATCCCAAGTCATGATGTCATTTCTGGCACAAACTCAGGCAGAATGTGCTATACGCTTCCAATCGGGCCGCACCCAAAGCAACTTCGGCACGCTCTGCTAAAACACGTGTAACATCAAAGACGACACCCAGATGCTGTGTATTTCATCGAGAGTGGAAAAGTTCAATCTGGAGCTAACGTTTGCAAACATTTTGTGCATTGCCAAGGTTTTCTCTGATCCAGTCGATTCTTCTTCAGCCTTTGAAACCAAAATCAACGCCTTGGCAGAGTTCGTGTGGTGGTTTTACCTCTTGGACAAACAGCGAGCGTGCTTCTTGTTCTGCATTTTCTGGCACAGTGGAGAACACAGTCCGGCCTTGGCGCCTCAGAGTGAGGATCTGATGAGACGGGCACAAAATTAAACAGCCGAAATGAAGATCTTTTCTGGACAATTTTGCTTGGAAGAAGAGGTATGGTCAATGTTTGAATGTAATGTAATATAATATATATGCCTTGTCCATGGTTCAGGTTTTGTAGTCCCGCCTACTGATTTTGAGTAATTGTATGATTTAAAACCATCAACAGTATGTTTATATGCGGATTCCCCTGCTATTTCACAGAATTTTTCTGGAACTGTACTTTTCTGAAAAGCTGTAGATGCATCATTTTGCTGCAAAGCGCATTGTAAGTCATCGCCACAGGGTTGCCCCATACTTGATCTCTAATGTCAGATTTGCTCGAAGTGACCCGTGTGACCCGTGTGCTGATATAAAAGAACCACCTGCACAAAGTTTCAAGAAATCACATACAACTTGTACAGTTCACTGTCACTTTGTGGAGAGGACTACCGGGACGGAATTTTAATTGTAGATTGGTGGAGAAATTCCTGTGATTCTCTGTTTTTCATTCGGATCATCAGTTCCGCCTTTGTTACGCCACCTGATGCCAGATCAGCATCGCCATTAACTGATCGGCTTGACCAACCAATCAACAAACAACTTCTCAACACTGAAACTAGTGCAAGTGGACTGCTCTGGTTGTCTTAGAACACGGGTGGCAAACTCCGGTCCTCGGGGGCGGCTATCCTGCATTTTTTTAGATGTTTCCCTCTTCCAACACACCTGATTCAAATGATCAGGATCGTGATCTGGCTCCTGCAGGGCTGAAGAACTGATCTGATTCTAAGAAAACCACAACAGGCTCGTCGCGAACGATTCAATGCCACGAGAATGAAATCACCGGATATTCACAAATATATTCTCCACTCATGCTTTTCATGCTCAGCGATGGTATTACGAAACAGAAGTACAGTATTAAAATGATGACTGTTCATGCTGGACTTGTTCCAAAAGGCAGTGATGCGAGCGGGGATTGAAGGGTAAAAGAGGCGCAAGATTTTGTGGCATCTTGACAACAGAACGAAGCAATGAATTCCACAGTCCGGCCACGATCTCTTGTATATACACTTCGTGCGCTCACATGCACTTACGTGAGGGCGGAATGTGCGCATGCAAACTCCACTGAATGCGGGGATTGAAGCGTAAAAGAGGTGCGAGATTTTGTGGCATCTTGTACAGCAGAATGAAGCAATGAATTCCACAGTCCGGCCACAATCTCTTGTATATACACTTCGTGCGCTCACATGCACTTGCGTGAGGGCGGAATGTGCGCATGCAAACTCCACTGAAGCTGCCAAGCTCACGCCCCCTTCCTTCTCCTCTCCTCCTCTCCAGGTTGAGTGATGGAAAACATGTAGCAGGTTTAGACAGCAGAGCGAAATTGAATGTTGTTTTTGGTGTTTCGGTCCACTTGCACTTGTGAGCATCAGCTCACCTGCCGGCACCAGCTCGCCAGTGACCCTCATGAGGACAAATATGTTGGATGGATACGTCTGACTTTCAGCAACCTCCGTAAGCCACTTAAATATTTGCCCCTATCCCAACTTGCCTCATGGATGCCGAATGCTGCAGGATTTTTTCTTTTTACAATCAAAGGAACACTAATTCTCAGTCATGCTACAATTGGTATTTCCCTTGACGTGACCCTCATGAGGACAAATATGTTGGATGGATACGTCTGACTTTCGGCAACCTCCGTAAGCCACTTAAATATTTGCCCCTGTCTCAACTTGCCTCATGGATGCCGAATTCTGCAGGATTTTTTTCTTTTTACAATCAAAGGAACACTCATTCTCAGTCATGCTACAATTGGTATTTCCCTTGACTTTGCACATGTAGAAAAATGTGTTGTGGGGGGGAGGGGAGCATTAGTGCTGTGCGCCGTTGTGGAATGGGACTTTGCAGACTCCCGGCCAGTCAGAGGGGATCCCCTAATTTCCATTAAAGTCAGGGCGGTCTAAGCTGACACAGGGCTTGACGTTGCAGAAGCATCTATGGTGTCCCTGCGGTCCATGCATGACATTGGCAAACGTAAAGTGCGTTTACACAGGTAAACTGCAAGATCTCCCCTTGCAGTTGATGTGGTCGGGCACGCCTATGACATATTGATATTGGAAAGAAAATTTTGGGGTTGACTTCCACTTCAACAAAGCGTGTTTTAAAAACACATTTGGGTGTCTGGGTGGAGCGCCTGGAACGGAATATCAGCCTTTCCATTCATTTCACTGGCAAAAGATGATGTGAGACGTTTTTAAGAAACAAGCATGGTCAGGGAATGAAGTAAATTGCTATCTCAAGGCACCACTGTATCTCCCACTCATATATAAACATATAAAAAAAACACCGACTTGGTAACATCCTTTGAAAAATCAATCAGACTCTCTTCTCTTTTCTTGTATGACCACTCTGGTCAATTTCTTGATTAAGGTCACATTTCATCAACGGACATTCCACGAATACACTTTTACCTGAAAGTCATCCAAAGGGAACTGCAGCATGTCCCGCAGACCATCGCTAATGATCTGCATTTTGCTTTGTATGATCACACTCTCATAGTCCAGAGGCTCGATGACCTTGGGCTTGACCTAGAAAAGCAAATGACAGCACGGCATCAAAATGGGACAAAACCAACTTGGGACCGGTAACTGTAAAACGTATCAGAGAACTTGTTGTCAAGAGGAGAGGGGGGCGGGTATTCAAACACACAGCGTGGACAAGTTGCCATTGTTCTTTGACAAGTGGTCATCAGTTGGAGCAGCTCGATAAGCGAAGGGAGCGATGGAGGGACGAGCGTGATGTGTGTGAGCGTGTGTATCACTGTACCAGTCACTATGTCATGACTTCAAATGCATAGCTGGAATGACGTCGCGGTGATTAGTGGAGTCCTCTGCTCTTAATTATCCCCACTATAGTGGTGGGAAATATAGTAGGCTCCAAATACTTAATTACTGTACTTAAGTCAAGTTTTCATGTGTCTGCACTTAACTTGTGTCATTATTTTTCAGACAACTTTGTACTTCTACGCCCTAAATTTGCAAATAGCTCTACTTTGTGGTCCTTACTTGGCTAAAGAAGATATACGGTGCACATTTTTGCTCTTATTTGAGTAAAGGAATTGAATCATGACTTCTACTTTGATCAGTCTTTTTTTTTTTTAGTCCTTACTTTGCGAAAGAAGATTTAAGGTGCACATTTTGGCTCTTACTTGAGTAAAGGAATTGAATCATAACTTCGACTTTGAACAGTCTTTTTTTTTTTTTTTTTTAGCACAAGAATCATGAGCGAGGACTTTTTGCCATCTCTGCAATGGTGCCCCTTAAAAATCATCAGTGTCTAATTTGTCGAAATTAAATTGTAATTCATCAGTTTTCACTTGGTCAATGAACAACATAACATGACTTGTTTACATTCTTGTGATTTTTTTTTTTTCCATTTGAATTTGATGGACTGAATGTAATCCGTCCACCCGTGTTCTCAGCAATTGTCCTCTCTCGGGTTATGTGTCAGCTACAGTGTACCCCAGATTGCTTTCGGCGAGAGTGGGGTGTACCTAAGAACAATTTGGAGTGATGAATGAACCGAACCTATATGTTTTTGGAGTGTGTGAAGAAGGCGGAGTACAGGGCAAAAATCCACATAGGCATAGGCCGAATATCTAACCCCAAACTTCAGAAGTGTGAAGTAGACATGCTAATCACACGGTTACCCGGCTGCTCTGATTCCCTCACAGGGAAGTACAGTTTTACACTGCGCTGTGTATTATTCAGAGAACTAGCATCCGCGTGACACATACATGACAAGCAGAAGCTACGATAGATGAGTGAAGCTGTGAGTGAGGAGGTTTAGTGATTTGCTCAAAGGTACCACGACAGTTGTCAGGAAGTACACTAACAACTTGCAAACATCTACAGCCGTTGCCGTTCTGTATTTTGAACGTACCGACCAGTTTAACAGAACTTGTCAAGGTCTTACTGCATCTCCAAATGTTCTATTTGTCCATTGTACGTGAACAACAAAATAAAACCTCCTAAATTTGCCAGGCGGAACGCCGCCAGCCATGATCTGAGTGATCACGCTCCTTTGCGCCGAAAAGCAATCATCGCTGTCCCAGATACTGGTGCCGACCGTGCCATGAGTCCATTTTTCTGGCAAAGCGACATCAGTCAGCGGGTGCACCTCAGTGAGATTCATCTGAAAGTGCGGGCAAATAAATGCCGGCTCAACAGATGCGCCACATTTACCAAGAAGGCATTGAGCGAGTGGCCTGACTGCGATTTGCAATCTGTTGCCCAAAACTGAGCTGCGGATGGAGCTATGCAACAAATTGTTTCATCATCATCAGCACTGATACCTCCATGCAAGAACGTTGTCCATGCAGCTCATCATTCGAGACACGTATCTGATGGTCGGTGAGTGCAGGCTGTATATTCTGATATTTCTGGCTTTTGTGTGTGTCCAAAGCCTGTGTCAAGTTTTCAAACTTCCAGAATGGGTGGCACTGAAAGAGTGAAGGGGCAAAGGGAACTCTCGTGCCTAAAAATAAGTATCAACATTCAACCCCCTTGGGAGGTAAACCCTGGAGCTGCTATTTCCCGTTTCCGTCCGGTCGCTTTTAAAAGGCATCTTCAAAGCTGCTCTTCAAATCCAACTGAGAGAGTAGCAGCGCGTTTTAAAGAATCGGATCCGATCGCTTCTATCAATGATGGTATGACGGACTGACGCGGGTAACTTACCGAGGTCACCTGTGAACCAGCTTCCACCTCTGCTTCAATCTCAGCCAAGCACTTGTACTTCTGTGGTGACTCTATCACCATCTCCCGTTTGGGGGCTTTTCCTGCCCGGCCCTGCATGGCGCTCAGTGCCCGGAACTGCCAGCCTGTGATCGATCAGGTGTGAGCTTCAGTGCGCTGTGAACGCTGTCATGTCGTTCAAGTGGACTGCAACAGCTCCGATGAACTTTCCCCTCCGTGCTAAATTACAACGGCTGCCTCTCGATCTCTCAGCAGAGGGCCCCTCCTACCTCTTCAGCTGGGATTGCGTGTGTGTGTGTGTGTGTGTGTGTGTGTGTGTGTGTGTGTGTGTGTGTGTGTGTGTGTGTGTGTGTGTGTGTGTGTAAGTGGGAGGAGCTGAAAAACATGCCTTTCTTTCCTTCATTAAAACATGTTTATGGGCCAGCTCCACCTACGTACCTGACACATGATGAACTTTTACTTCAACAAAAAATTTGACTGCTTGCTGATTGGCTGGCAACCGGTTCAGGGTGTCCCCCGCCGACTGCTCGAAAACAGATGAGTCAAGCTCCAGGACACCCGTGACCCTCGTGAGGAGAAGCGGTTTAGAAAATGGATGGATGGATGGGGAAAAAAATGGACTTTTTCCTGTGAATGTTAAAGTCAATGGACATAACATCCTTCGGACCTCAAGAGTTGTTTATTATACTGCTCACAGCCTCTGCATCTTCGGACATATTTCGATGGTATCTGGGGAGAGATTTGATGCCCGGCGGCACAAAATAAAAGTGGATTTTTCTTTTTTCTACCCAGACGCAGGATGACGACTCTTGCACCATTGTCGTATATACAACATGGACAACTCTTATAAAAACTGGGTTGGAGTAAAGTTGTAATGACAATAAATTATGTTTTCTGTTGAATATGATGCATCTTAAAATTGCATTTTTTTTTCAACAATAGAATAAAATAAAAGACAGTATTGCTCCTGATTACAGAGTACAGGGCTCACATCAGACACTATTCATTCATAAATTCCAGCAAAAATGGGGCAGTAAAGGCCCATTTTATGAAAATTTTGAACAAAATGACCATCACGTTATGAAAATGAAATGATCATACAGTACATACTGCCTGTTAACTACTGAAAAACAAATCACAGCAGATTTCAGAAATCGACTCAAATAGTCGCTATTTAAAAACACTGAAGTGCTCCATAAATAAAGTTGAGCTGAGAACTTTGGACCAAAGACTCCTTCATCATCCTGACTGCTCGGTGGTGTTTTCTTTTTGCCAGATAGCAAATGATGTATGAGTCCAGTCTTGTCGAGCCTCAGTGATGGCATTGCCAGTTCTGCACGAGAAAACACTCTTGTCAAAAGGCCTCCGCTGCATGTCGTCACCCCTGCTACATTCATCGACATCTGCGCAGCACTTCTTACACTATGAAACCTCCAAATGTCATTGGTGCTCCTGTCACATGCAAATTGCATATCCGAACAGATAAGAAAGTGGAGTTTACATTCCTTCAGACAATGACGAGTCTTCCTTGGAAAAGTGGAGAAAGCAGGAAGTGGAGGGAGACGATCTCCATTTAATTTTTTTATTTTTTTTTTGCGCAGCTTGAAACCATTAGAAGAGTTAACTTTCCACACCCTTCCCAAGAGACTGTCTCGCTCACTCTCACGTGCAATGATGACGTTAAAGCTCGACACAGACACACATGCGCACGCCAACCTTATATGCTAGGTTGACGTAATGTTTGGGGAAACCAACCATCACGCCGATAGAAGAAACTACGAAGGTCTTGCCTGAGAAGTAATCAAAACTTCCTTCTTTGACTGCGGTACTTCCACGGTCAGAAATTCTGCCACAGCGTGTAGTGCACGACAAACATGTCGGACACGGTCAATGAAGTCATTTGAGAGGAGAAATCCCGGCCTGTTTTTAACTGTGCCAAGGTGTGTGTGCTGGGTAAAATAACAACACTTGGTCCAGCCTGCCTCTGCGCATATTTACACTGCGCTTCATGCTCGGCACTGGGCACGAAAATAGAGCCCTTTGAGATTTGTGTGACAAGAATGATCATCTCCACTTTGGATGCTGCACAGGGGACACATTCTTCGAGTGAATATGGGATTTATATACACTGAGGAAGAGGCCCTTATCCTGCGTGAGGTTTTGGAGAAGCTCCCCGCAGGCTGAGCGATTGCCCCTTTGATCGAAGCACTGTTCCTCTGAAGGAAAGACTGCAGCCCCTCCAACAGATCTGCACTGGTAGTGCAGCCCAATGGGGCCGGCAAACACTGGCTGCCATCATGCAGGATAAACTATTCGAGCTGTCTGACTCCAGTGGTCTTTTAAAACCTATTCACAGGTTGAATGACTTGTCTGAAGGTCAGCGGCTGTTGCCTAGCACTTGGGACCATGGAAGATGTTGAAAGCCCCGGCGATGCCAGGCAGTTGGCTCAAATTGATAGTTATACTCCTGTGGGAATGGAGGCAAGATTGCCAGGACTGGAAATGCTGCGCTACTGAGCTGGGTGTTAACTTGCTTCTTCTTCCCATTCTCTTCTAGCGAGAGGGAGAGTGAGGATGCTACCTCCATGCACGCGCGGTCACCGGATTGAATTCTACTTTGTCATTGCTGTCTTGTCAACAGCTGTCACACTCTCCTGAGAATAACAAAGGACGATGTACAATACATGCAGTGAATGGCGTCAAAATGAATACTTTCACTTTCCGTGGCGGTGAGTCGTAGGAAAATCGAGACATGAACAGGCTTTCCATCCTCAGAAAAGGAAGTGGCTCCCCAATGGTGATGTTTGAGTCGTGAGTGACAAACATTCGTAGTCGTTCCGAGTGTCCAAAATACAATACCAAAAAAAAAAAAAACTGACCATTACTCAGAAAGTATTTTTGTTTTGGTTTCAGATGCAGATACTCTCACGCTAAATAGACACACACACACACACACACACGCACACACACACACACACATATGAATGAAGTCCGGTGACATATCCACCCCACATATTAGCGGAGCTCAGAATCTGCCTGCCCACACCCTCAATCAGATCGACCAAAATCGCATTACTCTTACACCACAACTTAGACCTGCTTTTACCTCGTCTAAAGATGAGTCTACTTTCTGCCACCAAATTGTCCGGTGCTCCAGAGGCATGGAAAACAAAACGTCTTAGGGCAGCCGGAACGAGCATGGTGCAGTGAGGTCTACCAAATTCCCAAACACGCAAAAGGAGACGCTCACCTGCACGGAAATTAAATACACCCATTTTTACATCCGAGCGTAAATAGAGCCCTGAGTGTGTTTATGACAGTGTGGAGGCAGTAATGACGTAGGATGACTTACACACATTAGATTTTAATACAAGTCTGTGACATCGGTTATCTATGATCCTGTCTAATGACCCAGATACGCTGTGGGGTACTAATACTAAAATGTGCAAAGCTGCAGATTATTTCTTCCAGTTATTTTATGCTCTGAGCAGGCAAAATCCTCTAGAGTGGAGCTATATTAGGATTTGGGGGCTGTTGCAAGTGGGAATTAAATAGAGGAAATGTGTGGGTACGGGTGGCATGTGATTGGGAGTATTGGCAGTCGGGAGGGATATGATCAAAAATATCAATCTAAAGAAAAGAAAACTTCTAAATCCTCGACAATTTTGGTGAGCAGGCATTTTTTTTTTCAATTAGAGCTGATAATCAAAGAGAATAGTTGAGAAAGTCATCACCCCCACCCCAACAAGCGCAAAGTATTACGCTTATCACTGTCTTTAATCAATGATTACAATATTATGTAAACTTATACAACCTCATAAGATAAACTTCTGGCGCTTTATCTAAAGTTCTGCCCAGAGATTAGATACAGTTTTCGTTGACATTGTGAAAGAGGTTTGAAATTGAAAATCCAGTTAGAGTGGCGAATTATTTAGGACTGTAATATTGCACTGCGGACGGCCTGGTGGTCCAGTGGTTAGCGCGTCAAACTCACCGTGCAGAGGTACCGGGTTCAATTCCACTTCCGGCCTCCCTGTGTGGAGTTTGCATGTTCTCCCCGGGCCTGCGTGGGGTTTCTCCGGGTACTCCGGTTTCCTCCCACATTCCAACAACATGCATGGCAGGCTTATTGAACACTCTAAATTGTCCCAAGGTGTGAGTGTGAGAGCGGATGGTTGTTTGTCTCTGTGTGCCCTGCGATTGGCTGGCGACCGGTTCAGGGTGTCCCCCGCCTACTGTCCGAAGACAGCTGGGATAGGCTCCAGCACCTACTATGACCCTTGTGAGGATAAGCGGATTGGGAAATGGATGGATGGATGGATATTGCACTGCATCATCCTAAAGGTGTTGACAAAAATGTCTCTTTTATGTACTGCAGCTAAATCCAGTGCGGTTGTGCATGTGTACCTCATAGAGGGCCCATTATGTTTGTAGATGAGTTATTGGCTGATTGCAAGTATTCATAATCCATGCACCCAGGAGCGCTTATAGTGTAACACCCAATGAAATGCAGCGCAGGTTTAAAATAGCCTGAACACCTACCATGAATTTATCCATGATTGAATCTGACCCTGAGATATAATCCCACATGAATTGTGCCACTCAACACTTGCCCACTTGCACACATACTCGTACTGTGTGGCAAAAACAAAGCATTTTGGGATTTATTTATTTATTTATTTATTTATTTTTTAACTTGGCCACTTTTTCAATGTTGTTCATGCTTTGAGCCTGAATATCACAGTGATACGAAGCAACAAAAATGTAGTGCTTGCATATTCACTATAAATAAGGTCACAAAAACACTAAAACAGCAAATGTTTACGGGTGGTAATGCATCCATATTCAAACAAAACTGTAAATTACTTGACAGCTTTTATGAATGTATTCATGTCGAGTTGGTGATTGGTAGTGTAGGGATTGAGGTGCCTTATCTGAAGCTGGCATGTGCTCAATTCCTGCTCAATTTTCCAATTCACAATCACCATACATGTATCCGAACAGACACAATTTGGATTCAAATCTGCAGCGTGCATTGTTTCATGCAGCTATCGTGCCTCTTGGTTTCGACATCGGTTCCACCACAATTGACAGCAGACTACTGCTCCTTTTGTGCATTACAATCTTACATTGCCACCTGCTGGAATATTTATATAGGTACCACATGAAGCCCCCAAACTTCAAAGTTTAAAGTATAAACACTGAACATACCGTATACAAAATGCGCACACACACACACACACACACACACACACACACACAC